CCCCCCCCCCCCTGACAATGCCAGTCAAATGGTGTAAATAATCTGGCCTAGAGTTTCAAGATCCTTTCCTCCAAAATTTTCTTCTGCCTGGCATTTGACAATAGTTTGATGATACTTTTTGGAGGACTCCCAGGATTTCTGTGGTTATATCTGCTCATTGACCTATATATATAGCAATTAGAAAGGTGTGATTCTTCATCCCAATGCTGGTCAACCAAACTACTCAATCCCAAAATGGAAGGTACTTAAATTTTAAACTGAGATGAATGAAGGGAATGGAACCCTTGGGATCTGAAAGAATTGCAAGAGCCTCATCAGCGGTATATTCCTGCTCAAACCTTCATTGTAGACAGATCTTTTCCAGAAATTGAACTCAAACAATAAAGTGCTTGAAGGAAAGGATATAGTACGGCTGGAAGCCTGTTGGGTGACTGTACCCCCAGCTTAAGTCTTTATTATAACTGCTCAATTACACACCATTAGCAAGAGAAAGCTCATACTCATGCTACAACATGGCAACAAGTGCAGGGTGTACTATGAAAATGGATATGACAGTTCAGGAGAGCAGCTAACCTCCAACAAACCAAGCCATAAAGGAATTGAGTTCTTTTAGGATTTGTTCCCAGTAGTGTCTTAGAAAATTGCCCAAAGAAACAGAAAGGGGAATGGCTTGTGATTTGAAGAGGGAATTCCAAGCCATCACCTCTTTCTGCTTCTTTCTTGGGATTGTGTTATACCATGACTTTCAATTGCAAGGTTGGTCGAGCCAATCAATTGTTCACAGTGGCACTTTCAACCAGACCTAACCCTTTCAGTCCTGGTGGGGCTCAGGAGTCCCACATTTTCTTTGCAGATGTTATAGAGCTACATAGGAATGCATGACCTTGAGGTTATGGCAGGATTCTGAGTCCCTGTTTATTGTAGTTCACCACATGTTGTCAAGATCATAGCAGCTCACAGTAATAGAGAGCTGCTGTATTTTCTGTGGCACTTCAAAAATGGTGTCATCATTTTTATTTATTTCAGCCTAGACATTTCCTTTCCCAGTCAATTCTTTTTAGTTTTTTTGCAAGCTAGATAGTGGGAAGTAGTTCAGAAATACAGCATGATTTTATTATTTATTTCAATTATTGAAATAAGTATTTAATATTACTTGTGGAAACTGTTTTAAAAGTACTTTTATGTTAT